CCTGGAAACTGGAGAACCACTCCCCGTTAGGACACATGTGATAGGAACAACCCGTATCCAAGATCCATGCATCATGAGAATTAGATCTAACTGATACAGTCAAAGCAAACTCTGCAGCTTCATCATCACTGCTAATAATGTTGGCGACAATCTTCTTGTCATCCTTGTTTTTCAATTTAGGACAATCTTTCTTCCAATGCCCTTTATTATGACAAAAGGCACATTCATCTTTGGCAAGATTTTTCTTGCCCAAAGTTGATGCTCCTCTTGATCTGGATTGAGATCTTCCACGGCTACCCGACTTTTTCTGATCTGTTCTACCACGTACTGTTAGAGCTTCAGCTGTTGAGTCTCTATTAACCTCCTTATCCTTCTTGCGAAGCTCATTATTCATGAGGGTATTAGAGACATCAACATATTTAATTTATTCTTTTCCATACAGTAGTGTGGTAGTCAAATGTTCATACGAATCAGGCAGAGAGTTTAACAATAATAATGCTTTATCTTCATCATCAATTTTAACATCCAAATTTTGCAAATCAGCAAGAATTTTGTTAAAATTATCTAGATGCTTGGACATAGACATACCTTCTTTATAATCAAACCGGAAGAGCTTCTTCTTCAAATAGAGCCGATTTTCAATGCTCTTTGTCATATACTTCTCCTCCAGTTGTGTTCAAAGCTTGTTTGCTGAAACTTCATGCATGAAAGGATATTTCTGATCCTTTCCGAGATAAAGCCAAATTTGACCACAAGCCTTATGACTGATCTTTTTCCAATCTTGTTCCTTCATTTCTTCTAGTTTCTCCTTCCCCAGAGCAGTGTCTAAATCTTGTTGAGTCAGAACATCCATAACTTCGCATTGCCACATGCTAAAGTTGTTGCGCCCATCAAATTTTTCAATATCAAATTTTGTGGTTGCCATCTTCTTTTTCAACCATCACGATCACCGAAAAGAACCAAACCGTGGTGCTCTCTTACCAATTGTTGTGCGGAAGCGTGGGCCCAACAAATAAATAATGGTGGTTGTGATCACACACACAAGAAGAATACACTCACAAAATAATAAATAGGATAAAACACACACACAAAAGGAAGACAAAGATTTACGTGGTTCGGCAATGTGCCTACGTCCATGGGAGCTCAAGATTAATGTACTAATATCAAAACCCAAAGGGTTACAAAAGGCTCACAAATGAGAAAATAAATATTATTTTCTCCAAACTCTCTTTGCTCACTTGAATGCTCTTGGATGATTTTCGAATGAATGAAACTATGAGATACAAGGTCTATTTATAGCCAACAAATCTCCCTGATGATATAAGCGATGACATATGCAAAGCCTGAGGTAAGCGATGACATATGCAACTGCTGATGTAAGCGATGACATATGCAACTGATGATGTAAGCGATGACATATTTTGAGCCAATTCCAAATTTGAAACTCCAAATTTGTCAACAGACATTGCCGGTTTGTTAATCCCATTATTATGATGAGAAGCCCAATGGACGAAATGGTTCCATGATATATTTTTAGCTGTTTAGAAAGGCTTAGACACTTTTGAAAAAGTTGATAATTTTGTACAAAAGCTTCTCTTCAACCTAATAATAAATTTTTCTAAAAAGATAATTAAATTTGACTCTAAAAAGAACTTTCCTTTTTCGTTTGAGCAAATATAACTGGTTCTGTTTAGAATGCAACCGGATGTATTTTTACTCAAAGTTAGTTTTCCAACTATGAAAAACACAACCAATTGTGTTCAAAATGCAACCTGTTCAGTTTTTCCTGATAGTAACACTAAACCAGTTTTGACTTAAATACACCAACCTATCAATCTAAAAATGTAACCCTAATTGTTATCCTTTCACATACCTGTCTAAGTGTAGTCTTGTCAACATTTCTTCATTGAACAAAGTTTATTCTAGCTCCACTTTCAATTTCTATAAGGTCTTCATTCTCAGGTTTATACAACATTTTCATTTGAATTGTTTCCATTTTTTTTCCTGGCATTTTTCGGCTGAACATTTACTATGTCAGATGTGATTTGGGTGTCTTTGTTAACTTTTTTAGACTTGAGAGGTGTCATTGTTAAAAAAATATGTCAACTTGTATATCAATGTCAATAGGGCAAACCATATGGGCGTCAGTGTAATTTACCCTTGATTAAACAAAGAGGTAAAGTTTATTGGATATTGAACCTAATTTTGATTAAACTGAGTGGTTAAGTTTATTTGGAATTTATTGTGCAGACCCGGTTCAATTATGTGGATTTTAATAGATGATTAAGCGAGACAAGGTATTACACATGATCAAGAAAGACCTTAAGTGTGCTGTTCGTTGTTGCCCTGTAATTTGGCTAACAGAGAACATGTAAGTTGACCAATTGATGCAAGCATTTTTTTTTTTTTTTTTTTTTTGTAATTTAATGGCCCTATAAGGATAATAGAGTCTTTTTCACTTAATTGAAGGGCATTTTGGCCAGTTAAAACTATTTATTTTTTTATTTTTTTTTTTTTGTGACAAAAAGTACTGCTTTTTGTATGGAGGGGAGGTACGTATTTGCAAAATCAAAGCAAACCTTAGGGGGACACCATACAAATAAATACAAATTTCAAATTTATTTGCAACTAGAACAAATTTGAGAAGAGGTCGTTGTAATTTATCCTAAATGAATTTACCATTAAAACTATCCCCCAAATTTTCTATGAGCCATGGTGAATTTACCAAAGTTGATTATGGTCGGTTAATAACTTGTGCCCTAACTTTTTTATGATAGGCCTACAGCCTACTGTGTGCACTTTAGCCATATTTTTGCATATTAGATATCTGAAACTGACAATACAATGCATTTGTGTTGCAGATGTGCAATCTTGGTGGTGAGCCATGGTGATCCCCTGCAGGTTTTTCAAACAATACTCAATGCAGCTAAAGAAAACACAATAAGCAGTAGCAATGACTTGGCAACGAGAATACAGTCAGTTGAAGTCCCGTCTGTCCTCTCAAAGCACCGGAAGTTTGCCCTAGGCTGTTTACTCGAGAACTCTGGGCAGTTGCATAAATTGTAGCTTCTACTTAGCAGGCAAAGCTTATGCTCCCGTCCAAATATTACTGAAATTTATTCTTTTGCATGACCAGATTTTTGTAATAGCCATGTTGTTACCAAAATTATTGGGTCATGGCATTTTGATTTAAGGGCCTTGTACATTGCAACTATGATTAATAATATAGCCTTGTGTTGTCCTTTAGGACAGATAGAGACGGGCATGTTAGGAGCAAAACCGACCGATATTCCCATGGATTCAAATATCAAGTTTAGCCCAGATGAGGGAGAGCTTCTTAATGTTGGAAAAGAATGTATTTGACGGTAAAGAGACGTGGCATAACATTTGCTGTAGGAGTAGGAGAGGCAGAAATAAGATAAAGTGGGGCTGGAGGATTCTCAAGGCCGGTTTTGGTATGATTTTGAGCTCGATATTATGGAAATAGCATAAGAATATTTGAAAACTCTCTTTTGGTATACAAGTGTGTCTGACGATTAGGGTTGGGCAGGGATCTCATTCCCCATACCCATTCCTGCTGAATTTTTTAATCTCCATCACCGCTTAAAATTTCACCACCACCCCCATACCCGCCCCCGCCCCCTCCCCCTTATCCCCGGCCTCGCCCCATCCCTGGCCCCGGCCCCGGCCCCGGCCCCGATCCCGATTAACATATATATATATATATATATTTTAAAAAAAACATAATTTTTCTTATTTTCATATATATACTAAATCTAATTTAGTAATAAATTATTATATGTAAGGACATATTAGTAATTTCACATTTAATCGGGGAGGGTTTGCCCCGTCCCCGCCCCAGCCCCCGATGGATTTTCAAATTTTATCCCCATTCCCATCCCTGCTATAAACGAGGCTAGGCAGGGACTCGGCGGGGTGGAGAATTTGCCATCTCTGTTGAGATGTGGGAATAGTATTTTCCACATTTGTGTTCCTTGACAAAGCACTTAATTTGCACATGTATTGAAATGAAAAGTTTCAGGATATCTCTCATTGGTGGGATGGGAATGAGTGATGGGTTGCAATCGGGCAGGTTGGGTGATAAATTTGCTTAAAGATGATTATTATTTTTTCTTTATTTTTGTCTCCGATTTCACATTTAATTCAAAATTTTAATAATTTTATAAAATGGCATATTTTGTAGTATATTAAAAGAGAGTGAGAAGAAGCGAAGAAAGGAAAGGGCAAAGTCTAGAGTGGCAGATTTTGTATTTTATGGCAATGCACAAAAAGTAAAAAATAATTAAAAACAAATAACAATAATTTTTATTGAAACTTTTTAAAAAAATTCTAATATTTGGATTATAGAACAAAACTCCCTTTTAATCATAAGGATTTTTTATATTATCCCTATTTAAGGGGGATAATTTATAGTAATTTTTTATTTCATTGGAAGAAACTTGCATTCTTATTGATCTTTAAAGCTAGAGTTAGTAAAGAGTATAAAGACATATTTAACGTCACTTAACTAGAAATACAATATTAGTCTTATAATATAATTATAATGCAAACTTAAAATTAAAGAAATCGTAGTCCTTTTCGCACTCCCCCAGGTTGTATGTTCTTCCCAAAGGTTAGGGGGTAGGACTCTCTGGGAAAAAATCCAGAAACTCATAAATTCCAGAGGAGAGAGCGATTTATATAATATAGTATGGTTACTTATTTAAGGTCTCATAATACTGCTCTATGATATTCAAGGCTGCAAGTGTTGGCGCAAAGCAAGCAAATCATGAAATCATGTTGTTCATGTCTTTTATCATAATCATGACTTAATTGATAAAGCGACCAACTTCCTGTTCATTTCGAGTCGTCCCTCTCCCTAAGACTAAAAAAAAAAATACAATTTATTTTTGGTATTTGTATAACCAGGTGCAATGTTCAAACCATGTCACTACAAACTAACACATGACAATACCACAATCAGTAAAGCAACCATACTTTGTCTCATCATCACTACAAAACAATACTTGTCTCACCAACAATGTGCGGTTGTGAAATCAATAATAATATAGTACAATAGCAAAATACTTTTTAGTTCCAGAAATTATTTATTACAACTGTTGTAACTATAATACAGTGTAACCAACTATTACAAAATCTTTATCAAAGCAAAATAGACGGAACCAAAAAACTAATATACCTGTTTTGATAGAATCCTTCAGCTCCCCTGCCCCTGCCTCTAACAAGTGCCCTACCAGCAGCAGCACCCTCCCTTTGTTTTGTCGCTGCCCTTTACAATCTGTGATCACATTTACCTCTTGTGAGTTGATTGAACCGGTCATTACTCATCTATAAAGAAAGGACGGAAATTTTTTATTTAAAAAAAAAAATTTCTAATGCCAAATTTGTCTTAGTTCTATATTTTATTTTTTCAAACTGTGATTTACCTTTATTCTTATAAAAGACAAATCTTGTTATTCTTATAAAAGATAAATCTTAAAAAAAAAAAAAAAAAAATTAATGTATAATTATAAATTTATTATAAATAGTGAGAATTTGAACGAGAGCGTGAGAGCGGAAGCGCTCGAAATATAAGAGCGACACATGTTAAGAAAGATTATATGACCTAGAAAGAAACACAAATTTGAAAATAAAATAGCAATAGTTAGGTACTTGTCCACCATACATACCCACACACACCTTACCTTATTACGACTATCGATTTTAGGAGCATGGCCTCCATCCTTCTCCTCACCCTTCATCACGGGCTGCGGAGGAACCGCGGCGTTGATGACTCCCTCGGCCACTGTCGTCACCACCATCCCAACGCCCAACGCCACGGTCCCAACGCCGGCCGCCAGCTCGTTCAAAAAGCCCGGCTCCTGTTGATTTTTCGGAACACCCGCTGGCGGCATGTTCGAATGACCCGCCTCTGGTCTCTTCTGAGTACCCGCAGACAGCCCGTTCCGACGCTGCTGACTGAACCCATTCTTGTGATCCATCGCTGGCCAGATAACACAATGTAGAGAGAATTCTTAGAATATATATATAATCAATATGTATGGCATTATGTATGAATATGTGTGTGTATATATAGAGATATATGTGTGAAGAGAGAAGGGACTGAAGTCTAATGAATTATATAGAGCGAGTGATTTTATTAATAGTTGAATCATAGAAGAAGAAGAAGATTCGTGGAAGAGTATCAATTAATTCTAAAATAAATTTTTACTAATATTATATCTGATGGAATGTACGTAGAAATTGTAAATATAACGACAAAATGGCAGCAGTTGAACCTAATTATATATCAATTAAATATTTATATATATATATATTAATATATTAAATACTATTATTTTCTTTCCTTCTCTTTCCCTTTTTCCAAACCAACCACCGTTTGTCATATATAACTGGAGCTTAGGTTTTTGGCTTTTGCAAAAGACTTCGGACTTATAGTCGTTGAGATTTTTAGATGGTTGAAACCAATTTATTTTCTAATACTTTGAGATCAGTTTAATAAGAATTCGGTTAGAAAATATTTATTTTATTTCAAAGACCAAGACTTGGATAAAACAAAGATGAAATACGTTTTTTTTTATTTATTATTTATTATTTATTATTTATTATTTATTTTTTTCGGTAAATGATGCTGAAATATTATTGTAGAGAACATAGTGTTAAATATGGTCAAAATTAGCTAGATAAACTAGACCGTTTACGCTCTACTCGTACACATTTTTTAATCCAAACCGAGGCTTTGGCGGTTTTGACTTCATCAAAATTTATAAACAATGAAAATTGAGTGAATACCTTAAAGGTCGAGTGGTCCAGCTGTATCGACTCTTACTCCCAAATAAGGTCTAGATTTCAAACATCATGGACACTATTAGCACATATCACTATTGCTTGGACGTGCCCGACACCGAAGACACCGGCAATATATATATATATATATATATAACAATAAGATGATGATCGAAGTCATACAATCTTTCTCGACAGGTGTCGCTTTCACACTCCGAGCGTATTTTCACTCTCACGCTCTGCATGCGCTCTCACTCAAATTCTCACTACTGATGACTTAATTCTGCTGCTTTCAAGCTCTCGCTTTCACTCCTGCTTCACTTGACTTAGAGGATGGTACAGGAGTATATATTCATTCTCCATATATAAGTAAAAGTCCATGGTATAAACTTTACAGATACGGGGGTGCGGCTTTGGCCCAGTGGTTCGGGCTTTGCACTTAGTTTCATATGGTAACATCCAACTCCCTAACCTCTCCAGGTTAAAAAAAATAAAAATAAAAACTTACAGAATAGATCTATGGATTAGAATCTTCTTATTTGGAAATATGGGCCATATGGCCTTTTCCTGGATTGGACTTAGCTTGTTTCTTTGTCTGGGCTATTGTGTGGGCCTTGTATAGTTTCTAATGTTAATATACATATATCCTTTTACCTCTAAACAAATGAAATTCAAATAGGTATTGTACAGAGAAGAAATTTAGAAAAAGAAAAAGAAAAAAATAAAGCATATAATAAAATTATATAAAAAAAAAAATATTTCTCTGTTCGTGTTCTTACATGGTGCATCAATCAAATGGTTAAAGACTCACTAATGTGTGGAGCAATGAAAATTTGAAAGTGCATTTGACAAATGTTTTTGTGATGTGTTTCGTGTTGCAGGGTAATGTATCCTAGTGAAGTAAAACATTGCAACACTGAAAGTACAAAGAATTTTTCTCCAAATGTAGAGAGAGAAACTTTACACCCCCAATAAACTTCAACCACTTTTCCCTCTCAATCCCTCTTATTTATAGACGGTTATAACCACCCTTGAGCTGGACCTAACTTGTTCTCTTTTGTCTTTTCATCTTAACATGGGTTTCCGCAATGACTTCTTGGATCTGGGCCCATTCAGCGTGGACTTGCTCAATCCTGACTATCCATACCCGACCCGTTCTTAACAGTACGGATCATACCAAGCTCGAATCATTTTTGGTGTCTTCATCTGCCCCCAATAATCTCTCCCCTCATTAATTAGGGTGAGATTATTGAAAAGACACAATCTTGGTCTGACGACTCGGAGCGATGACACGAGGAATCGAACGGATAGCACAAAGACCCAGACTTCAAGATCTGCTACGCCACTTTTGCCTTGACCTTTTGAATTCTGTGTCACCTCCATTTCTCCTCTGTAAAAACCCCGATCCTTTCAACTTTTATCTTCCTTTAACATATCTTACTTTTGTTCTCCGTTGCCATCTTCCTGAGTTTCGTCCGTCACCTTCTTGCACTTTCCGACGATCTTTCTTCAGTTTCTCCGGCGAGTTTTTCCTTCGCGATTTTGGCTACTGTGCTGCTGCTGTGTACATCACAAACTTTCAAGGTCAGTTTTTTTTTTTTTTACTACCCTTTTTGAAAAAGACACCTTTACTACCAAAGACTCCTCTCCTTCTCCATGGCTCCCCCAAATCTGAACACCATTCGCTTCAAGAATAGCATTCCCAATGATGTCTCTCTTAGGATCTATCCAACAAACTTAGATGGGAGATCTGATGAGGGTCTCCTTCCTGGGGAGGTTTTATTCTCTGTCGTCCATTTAAACGTCGTTTGCTTCCCCTTACACCCATTATTTTGTTACTTTTTCAGCAAATTGGGGCTCTGCCCTCTGCAAGTTAACCCTAACTTCCTTAGGGTAATTTCAGTCCTTCTGCTCTTGAATCGTGACAGGGGTCTCAACCTTGACATCATTGACCTTCTCCTCTGCTACCGAATTAATAAAATCAAACAAAGTGATTTGTATTATCACTTCTTTCCTATTGACAAACGGTCGATCTGCACAGATAAGAACTCGTTTGAAAAAGATTGGAGACAAAACTTGATTGGGGTTAGTGGGAATTGGCGGACTCCGTTCGGCAAATCTTTCTCTATCCCTTCCTCCTTTGGAGTATGCTCTGTCTCTGGCTATAAGAAACTAAAAACACATCCCACTGAATGCCATTGTAAAAGTTGTCTTCCCCGTTTTTGTACTTTTCTTTGTAGATGCCTTCAAATTCCTCATGATGAACTGGTTTATAGCATTTATAGGGCCAGGCTAGACATCTTACAAGAGAGTGTGCTTCTGACGGCCCAAGTTTTTGTAAACCCGGTGCGTCAGTGATGACCCGATAATGGATCCGAAATGCGGAAGCGAAAGGTGAAACAATGGTCTCTAGAGATACAATGCGTCTCTAAGACACCAATGTGACCCTCAATGAGGTCACGGAACCCAAAGGAAACAAATGCAGAAGCGTCGTTTCAAAAACGGACAAAAAGAACCTAGGGGCAAAATGGTCATTTTGTAAAAAGTGGATTCATGAGCTATCGAGCACACCACTGGAAAAACAATGACAAATTAGTCAAGTTCAAAAAAAATTTTACTCAATTTGGAGTCCGGACGGGGGAGAAAGGTCAAAAACAAAAATGATGTCATGGCGGCCCGACGAGGACAACCCACCACTGCTACAACTGAGAGTAAAAACGAACATCTAAACGGACTTTTTTGGAAAAACCCAAAGAAGAAACCCCCCCTAAAATCAAGTTTCCTACCCCGATCGTGAACGAAAACAAAAAAAAAAATGCATTGTAAAATGCCCAGAATGCCTCCAAGAAAATCAGGTCAAGAGGAAAAAAATAAATCCGAGCTACTGCCCAAAGTTTTGGAAATAGGGCTTCGGGAGGTTTTTAAATTGCCTAAATTGAAAATGCAATCTTAAAATATACCCACAAGACCTCCGGAAGTTTCGGATCGGTCGTGACGATTTTCAAAAAAAAGTCGATGAATAGTACCAACTACATTTGTACTAAAAATTTGCAAAACCTCGCAGCAAAGATTTTCTAGATCAATATGGATTTTTGAGGGCCAAGATGATGTTTTCTGGAAAAACACAAAAAATAAACCCCCCTCAAAATCAAGCTTTCTACATGATTCGCAAGAGAAAATGAAAAAAACTCATTGTGAAATACCCAAAATGCCCCTGTAACAGAATAGGGTCAAAACTAAAAAATATGCAACTTTAGGTTTTTGTTTCATCAAGGAAGGAATTGTTTGCCAAAGTGAGTATGCAAGTGCATGCAATATGATAAAATAGATGTACCAACATGGCCTAAATCCTCTTTACATTCCATTAACAAGTTTAGCATACAAAACCTACATTTCTCACAAATAAGCTACAATGGCAATACTTGAGTTTTAAAGAGAACATGTTTGTAATCTTTCATGTTAATGGCTCTTGGCCTCATGCTACACATACAAAACAAGCATCAAAGAGAGTACTTAGATACACATTACATGAAGGAAGCCATCTTAGCTTCTAAAATACCATACATCCATGGTATACAAAAGTATTACATCCAAAAGATAAAACATGCTAAACAAGTGCATGCTAATATACAAAAATACTTCAACTAGCTTAAAAGTTCCTAAGGATGATGAGCATCCATGAACATGGTCTCTTTACCTGAAAAACAACCCAAACCACTAGGGTGAGTAATCAAGTTACTCGTAAGAGAAGCATATGCGTATACCCTAAAGTTTCAATATTATTGCGAGATCAATATAGACGAATATAAGGGAACATTCCATTTAACGTCTATGTTCAAGGTGTGCTAAGGGATTATCTTAAGCTAACTTAAATGATTCTTAAACAACACATAACAATGTCAATGTGCTTAACAACATCAATTCGCAATCAACCAAAAATTACAAGTTACAATTAAACATTAGTTGTCAACTTGAAATTTAATGCGAAATCACATAATGGAAAACTTGGACATCTCGTCTTGGACTAAACCAAGATCAATATGGTTATTCCGGGCATTAACCCGCTGGGAAAACCACCCAAGTGCACACTATCTCAATTGGGGAGAACTCATACCTCCCACACTAAAGCCAAACTTTAGCCATGTCACTTGTAACACAATGTCCCAAGAGAATCCAAAATATATCAAGTTCAAAACTTATATATCATAATTTAAGGCATATAAACCACCTTCATGCACAGGTATCTTTGAAACCACACAAACCATGTCTTAGGGTTCCAAATCTAGAATGGCATAATAAATGACAAGTTATTAACATGATATAATGTGCAATATAATACCACAAACTCATCAATTTAAACCATGT